AATGGTTTTTTGGAACTCTTTGTTATATTGCTGTAATGGGATTCATGAAGATGAAGTAATTAACTCGTATAACTATTTGAATTCATATTCATGTATATTGAACACTTTCAAACCTTAGTGAAAGTCAAAACTTTAGTGAAATACTTCAATTATCAAGATTATTCATTCTAGAAATACTTCACTTCCGAAACCTTAGGGCCTGTTTGGATTCGTAGGGGGTGAAGGGAAGTTAAGGGAAACTGAGTGAAGGGAAGGGAAACTGAGTGAAGGGAAGGGAAGGGAATTCCCTTCCCCTTGGTTACACCCCAATTTGGGGGGTAACAATTTTTATACTATTAGGGGGTGAACCAAGGTGAATGGAGGTGAATTAACTTCACCTCCTAAGTGTTCCCAAACAAGGTGAATGGAGGTGAATGGTTCCCCTAACTTCCCTTCACCCCCATTCCCCTCAATCCAAACAAGCCCTTAGTGAGATGGGGAACCTGGACATCTGTCCATCATACAGTTGTTATGTAATAAGCAAACAGAACCCTTCTAGGACGGGCAACTATATTTAGATGAGCGTAATGGCATCTATGATAGGGGATGCCATTCATCTTTGAAACCCTTTGCATGCAAGGCAAATAGACAAATTAGTGCATGTAATATGTATTAATGTGATTTCGGTTTTTAGAGCAATAACAGAAAATAAATATGGTGTCACAGGGATCTTATGATGCAGTTTGACATAATTTGCTTAAATATGTTAGATAGTTATATCAGATAAAAAATAAACTATATGAAGGGGGAAGAGAGCAACGGGACTAAGAAATCGGATAAGATAAAAAGAAGGCTTTCATGAACCAATAGATGCATAATTAATGAGATAAATGTGCATTGTAGGTATCAGATAGGTATTAACATAAATTAGTGGCCTTATTAGACGACAAATATCATTAATATAGAATGGATGACCCAGTATAGATAGGAAGTATTGTCTAGGCCTAGGGTGCATATCGGGAACCCTGCTTCTTGGGATATCTGTGACGGTTAGCCGTGCAAGTTGATTCTAGCAATATATACAATTTTCCATGATTTTCTTTCTTGTTTCCTTAGTATAATCTTCACTGGATATTTAAGTGATTGTTATGAATCATAGACTCTTATTTTCTTTGAATATGTTTTTTGAATGGACACTGTGTTTAGTGAACTTGATGGACAGAATATTTCTATTAGTTTTGCGTTATGATGTCTTCCGCTGCTATGTGGTCGATTCGCAATATACTTTATGCTTGTGCTAGCTTTTAGGAGCAAAACATTACGTTAGTGACGCCTGACAATTTCTTGTACAAAAATTTCCTTTTGAGCCTTTATGGCTGTCCTATTGGTGGTTTATTCTTCATTAATTCAGTTATTTTCCTCTGCTATATGAAACATATTTTCCTGGAGTGTTTTTTTCCTCCTCCATGTTTCATTTATGAAAGTCTTGTAAGTAACAAGTGTCCACTCTGTTGCTACCCATAATAATTTCAATCAAATGCTTAAGCTAATGCGTCCTGCACGGATTATTTTATGTCAAGCAATTTGAAACTTCCTCTCTCATAAAACTACTTTAGAATGCCAATGATAAGATTTGGATCTGGCATCTAGATATTCGGTTCTCTGATGTCATTTCTGATATATAAAATAGATATATCAAGCACAAGTATATTGATTTCCTTGACATTGTTCCGCATTTTTCAGACTCTTGGTGTTCATTGGTGTCCCTTCAGTAGATTAGCACAGATGCCATCATCATTTGAGTAAGCTCAGTATTCCTTTATTCTTCCAAATCTGTTATGCTGATAAAAATTTTAACGTTTGTGTTGCCAAGCTGAAAGCTGAATAACTGAGAGAAGGCTCAATAGTTGCGTAAGCTAGCAAATTTATTTGGATGTTTGCCCATTATTTCTGAACTTTATTGTTCTGGAACATATTTGTGTGTTTGATTATATTTCACTTTTGGTGCCATTAAGACCTATCAAAGTTTCCTTTATACTTCTTTGGATATAGCCTTTTCTGTTACATGAACTGAAGATTTGTATTTGTTGGCTTCTTCTCTTTCCTAATCTTCTGCTTAAAAGATCAAAATTTGTGCTAGTGGATAAGCATTCAAACTTTGATTCTTCTCTTTCCTAATCTTCTGCTTAAAAGATCAAAATTTGTGCTAGTGGATAAGCATTCAAACTTTGATAGGCAAAACAATGTAATGAGGGAGCAAAAGATCAAAATTTGTGCTAGTGGATAAGCATTCAAACTTTGATAGGCAAAACAATGTAATGAGGGAGCATATAAATTTCTGCTACCCATTTCTACTCATCCCACAGTACAAATTTGCTGAAGTAAATGAGGGAGCAAATAAATTTCTGTTACCCATTTCTACTCATCCCACAGTACAAATTTGCTGAAGTTACCTTATTTACAGAAATCCAATTTTCTTTCAGGCTCACCTGAATGCAAGAAATGCCTTTGTCCAGTAAAAGAATAGTTACAGAAAATTACCTCGTTATAATTAGAGTTAATTGCATATACACCCTGCTCTACTTAGGCTAGGGGTTAGCCGTTTATTGTCCCTAAACTTTTTTGTTACCACTTTGGACACCCTGATGCCTTAGACGGAATTTACCTCTTTGTTATCTTTATGTCACGTGGGTGTCACATGATGCCACTTTGTTGCATGGGCACCACTATTCTCTTATTGGTGTTGAAATGAGGTAGAGATAATTCTGTTCAATCATCACAGGGTCAAAATGGTAATAAAAAGTCTAAGAGATAATTTTGTCGATCCCCTTATATGGCATGGGGTCCATATGCATTTAACCCTTATATTTATGTCCCGCTTTTGATTTAGTTCCGTGAAAGGGCTACTGAAGTTAACATCATTTATTTATGTCTCTTGATTTAGTTCCGTGTAAAAGCTGCTGAAGTTGACATCATTTATTTATGTCCTCTTGAATTACTGCCTGCTAAAACATCTACCTTGCTGGCTTTATCATTTGCAAAGTGGTAATTATAGTTTGTGGGCATGTACATATACAACGAGAGGATTGTAGTGTTCTTGTTTGGATGGTAAAAAAGAAAACCCTTAAATCTCATTCTTGATAATACTCCTTTTGATTTTTATTTTATTAGGTTGGAATCCTTTGGATTGCGATCTAAAATGTTTAGTGGGTGTCAAATAATTCCAGTTATATACACAAAGTAGTTTTAACCGAAAACCCTCTTGGGGGAAATGTGCTGAACTCTTTCTTTCAATAATTTGGCCTACCTTAGTTCTATTTTGTTAAAATAATAATAGCCAAATAGGTTAAATAGAAGAATGAAATATGGGAATGGAATGCTTAGGATTCTGTCTAACTGAGCTTTGATGTTGCTTTGAATTGGAGTTATTTGGTTAAGAATTATGATTTATCAAATTTACTGAAACGAGGAATCGTTTCTGATGTATGGAAAATTTGATGTCACTTGTAATTTCTCTGTAGATATTTCACATTCCATTTTTCAATTACTCTTTTTTTTCTAAGCATAAATTACTATTCTTCTAAAAAGCCAGATAAATTGTTATTTAAAAAATATCTGCACGTAACCAGGTGTGGAACTGATTTTTCTTTCTTAAGCGAATAAACAAATACTTAAGTTATATTCCCATACTCCTTGTGCAGAAACAAGAACTGATTTATTTTTCTCTGAATCTATTTGCCTCCCAGGTCTGGCTCAAGAATTGTGGGCTCATTCGTTTCTTCACTGGTTCCACCATACCTCCCCAGCCCTCGACCTGACGGCCATGGCCATGTCCGTGATCGCTACCATCATCAAAATCCCCGAGGCCTACACCCTACTGTCTTCTCAGGCTCTCAGCAGCAACAAGGAGCCCCGAACCCCTTACCTCCACCAGGACCCACACCTCTCTCTCTCCATGATCAAGCAACCTACTACCTCATCCCACCACCACCAGCAGCAGCTTCATCCAGCAGAAGCCGTCATCAAGAAGCCGATGACACCAGTGACCATTTTTATTCGTGGGAGAGAGATCAGTTTGCTCCGGTCCCATTCACGTGGAGACAATTTCCTCATCAGAATGGTAATGGTCCGATGATGAGGCATTCTTCGCCCCAGAGTATGGAAACCTCGGGTTATCGGCAAAACCATATTGGAAGAATGAGGCATTATTTCTGAGAGCCATGTATTGCTTGTTTGTAAAATAATATGAATTGTATAAACGCTGCTGTGTTGCCTAACGATCAACTTAAACTGGGAATAATATTTTGATGGTGATCTCTGGCTGAAGATGGCTTTGGTTTTTATATTGCAGAAAGCAAGCAGCTTTGCGTGATCTGTTATTATTGATATACTTTCAAGAAAGAAAATTCTTGCTATACTGGATTGATAAATGAGCAAGTGCACGTAAGATGTCTGTCTTTTTCAATTGATAATCTAACTGATATTTTTTATCCTTCATAGATTACTTCTATAATTTTTACGGATGCAGTTCTCACACTGAACCTTAAGAATTTTTTTTCCAATCTTGTTCTGGCCACCTGTATTCCGTCCGAGCA